GAAGGAAGGAAGGAAGGAAGGAAGGAAGGAAGGAAGGAAGGAAGGAAGGAAGGAAGGAAATAAAGATTATTTCCATTTGTAACTTTTAAAAAAAGAGTTTATTAAACAAAAAAGAAATTTAAAAGCTATGTATGCTAAACACAAGACAAACATCATTCTAGATGGAGAAAAATTGAGAGCATTCCCTCTAAAAGCTAAAACAAGACAAGGATGCCCTATTTCACCACTTCTACTCAACATAGTCCTTGGAACTCAATTCAGAGCAATCAGAAATTAAAGGGATACAAACAGGAAAAGAGCTCAAACTATCACTATTTGCTGAGGACATGATTCTATATCTAAAAGAGCCAAAAAATTCTACCAGAAAAACTTCTAGAACTAATAAATACATTAGCAAAGTAGCAGGATATAAAATCAATACCCATAAATCAAATGCATTTCTATACATAAGTGATGAATTCAATGTGAAAAAAATTAGGAAACTACTCTATTCACAACAGCCTCAAAAAATAAAATAAAAAACTTGGGAATCAATCTAACAATAGAGGTGAAGGGTTAGGGTTGTGGCTCAAAGGTAGAGCACTTGCCTAATATGTATGAGGCACTGGGTTYGATTCTCAGCACCACATATAAATAAATAAACACTGACAACTAAAAAAGAAAAAAAGAGGTGAAAGACCTCTACAATGAAAACTACAGAACACTAAAGAAAAAAAAATTGAAGAAGACCTTAGAAGATGGAAAGATCTCCCATGTTCTTGGATAGACAGAATTAATATTGTCAACATGGCCATCCTACCAAAAGCACTATACAAAATTAATGCAATTTCCATTAAATTTCTGAAGATGTTCTWCATAGAAAAAGAGAAAGCAGTCATGAAATTCATTTGGAAGAATAAGAGAAACAAAATACCAAAGCAATCCTTAGCAAGAAGAACAAAGCAGGAGGCATCACAATACCAGACCTTAAATTATAATACATAGCAACAGGAACAAAAACAGCATGGCACTGGTACCAAAATAGACATGTAGTCCAATGGTATAAAATAGAAGACATAGAGACAAACCCACATAAATACAATTATCTCATACTAGACAAAGGTGCCAAAATATACATTGGGGAAAAGATAGCCTCTTCAACAGATGGTGCTAGGAAAAGTGGAAATCCATATGTAACAAAATGAAATTAAACCTCTCACCCTGCACAAAACCAACTCAAAGTGTATTAAAGATTGAGGCACTAGAACAGAGACACTGCACTTAATAGAAGGAAAAGGAGGCTCAAATCTTCATCATGCCAGCTTAGGTACTGACTTACTGAATAAAAATGCTGGCCCAAGAAGTAAAATCAAGAATCAATACATAGAATGGATTCAAACTAAAAAGCTTCTTCTCAGCAAAGGAAACAATCAATAACATAAAGAGAGACCCTATAGAATAGAAAAAAATCTTTACCACATGCACCTCAGATACAGCACTAATCTCCAGGATATATAAAGAAGTCAAAAACTGGCACTGTGTATAGCCAGAGGAATGAGAAGTTATGTTCCATTTGTGTTTAATGTATCAAAATGCATACTACTGTCACATATAACTAAGTAGAACAAGTTGTTTTAAATTTTTTTTAATTGATACATACAAACCTTATAAAATAATATTCCAGATGGAGACAAAGATTAGTTTCAAAACTAAAACACCTTACCTAAGATTTGTCAAGAAGCCACCTCACATAAGACTCAGTCTCTCATTTTATTCCATGTTAAGATAACCATTCAAGTTCATTTCTTTTAGATTTAAGTTCAAAACATAGACTTTTGTTATAAAGATTACTATAATCTCAAAATAAACAATACTACTGTGTGTATGTGTGTGTGTAAGTAAACTTTAAAATTACAAAAAAAATACGTTCCTTGGTTTATGGCTATTACACAAATTAAATCCTTTTACTCTGTTAAAAAAAAATGTGACTTTATTGCTTAAAAGGCCCCTAAATAAAGCACACCATTAAGTACTTCCTGCAAAAATTAAATATCTTACCTGATTCCCAACATTTGTAACTTTTATCTCCTCAGAAGCATTCATTGAATTTCCTATGTCCAAAGATCTATAGAAGAGTTGAATTATAACAAAGCAATAAAAACAAATGCATATTTTAAAATACACATCCTAAAAACTGTTTGCCTTCAGAATTTATTAGAATCCAAATAAATTGCAACATCATTCTTTAGAGAGAGTATAATATTGTCCACTGTTTGCTACTAATAATATCTGCTTGTTCAAAAAAATAACTTTTGTCATCATTATCCAAAGAACATGTATGAAGACACAAATTGGTGTGAATATACTTTGTACAATCAGAGATATGAAAAATTTGAGCTCTATATGTGTAATATGAATTATAATGTATTCCACTGTCATATATAAATAAAAACAATTTAATAAAAAGATAACATTTGTATAAAAGTCCTTTTTAAAAACTCAACATTTGAGATAAGGTGTTTAATAACCTGCAATTACAAGTCCAATGGCTAAAACTGACAAAATTCTATTTCTGAGAAAATCCCTTATGTAGAGAAAATGCTAAGATTACAGTATATTACATTTTTGTACTCAGAAGTCATATTAGATTTTTCAACATCCTATTTTATCTCAATTCAACTTAATGTGTCAGAAAATTTTTAAATATGGTTAAATTAAAATCCAGCAATTTTTCTGTTCCATATTCTAAAATATCAATCATGAGGTAATTTTTATCTCACTACTGGACAATGTGTAATTCATTTACAACCTACTTACTTCTGCTGTTCTTGCATTATATGAAGTTGCTCCAGTTTAGTCTTATGTTCAGACTCCAATCTACTAAGCATCTCTTTTATGACGGAAATGAAAGAATTGAACTGGTATAATAAGAAATTGATATGGTTATAAAATTTCAAGTTTGCAGTAATCAATTAAGGTAAATAAGCTAATCACAATTGTGTATTTTTCCAGTGGCTCACAACAAGCATAGTACATTTAAACTAAGCATATCACAGCAAGATTTTACAACCTTTATATGGTGGTGACATGATAGCTGATGAGGCTTTTAAGTTCCAGAAAACATGTTTCAATGAGTTTTATATATATATATATATATATATATATATATATACACACACACTAAGTTGTCAGACAGCTATTATTTCAGGATTTTATTTTTTTTCTGGCACTGAGAACTGAACCCAGGGCTTCACACATGCTAAGTAATACTCTACTGCTAAGTTTTCAAAGGTCTTACATAAGTTTACCCCAGCAGTTATACACTGATAACTTGTCCTATCTGGAAACAATTCATTTAATATATAAAAAACTTCTGTTTAAACAAATTGTTAGAAAAATGACATATTTGGCTAGAATGAACACTGTTTTTTGAAAAGTTAGCAGAAATATTAAATCAACACAATTCATCTTTCAAATAATTAAAATTCATAAATATGCCTAATACTACATCTTTTTGTTGTTGTTGCTGTTAAACTTTGGTTAATGGTCCATGATTCTTATAGCACCTCTGGATCATCTTAAACAAGTTATTCTAATGACACCATAAGTTACAGGAAGACTCTTTCTTTTCATCTTATCATGAGAATTACAAAAAGTATATTGCTTCAACCATTTATCATGATTTTCTGATTCGTTTTTTAAAAACCTTCACTGAAGTATAATATATTAATAGAAAAGTCTGTGTGTGTGTATACACAGCTCAAAAAATTCACAAACTGAACATGCCCATCAAAACCAGTAGCCTGACATAGAAACAAAACATTGTCAGCACCCCAGAAGCTTTCTTCTAACCTATTCTAGTCATTTCCCACTCCCAACCCCTACAGATAAGCACTATTTTGACTTCCAGCTACGTAAACTGTTTTTGTACTTTATATAAAYAGAATCATCTGTTTCATTTACTTTATGTTTGTGAGATTCATCCAYATTGTTGCATGTAGTTTATGCAAAGAAGAGTTAACATGATAGGCCTGAACAGCTATTTTTAGGTCTGCTTACCAAGTCAGCCTCTGGCTGGTAACTGGAACTTAGATTTCAGGATGGGTTCCATTATTAACTGATAAGAGTGGTTGCCTACGCTTAAACTGCTTCTACAAAGAATTTATCACATGCTGAACACCTGCTTTCCTTTTGGGAGTCTGGATTTGAGAACATGCCAAACAGAGGATACTACATGATCAGCTCTCAATAAAAACTTTGGGTCCTGAGTCTCCAGTGAGATTCCCTAGGTGGTAAAATTTCACATTTTGTCACAACTCATTATTAGGCAAACTGAGMGCATCCTATGTGATTTCACTAGGAAAGACCTCTAGAAGTTTGTGCCAACTTTCTTCCAGACTGGGCCCTATGAATCTTTCCCCTTTCCCAATTTTGCTTTATATCCTTCCACCACAATAAACAAGAACTATAAGTATACCTGTACATGGGTCCCAATGAGCCATCCAATCTGTCTAGGGGGTTGGGGAGTCTTAGAAGCTTTCCATAAACACATCATAGATGGTTCAGTGAGTCTGAAGTTTTTTTTTTTAATAACTTTGTTTATTTTTATGTGGTGCTGAGGATCGAACCCAGGGCCTCGCACGTGGTAGGCAAATGCTCTACCACTGAGCCACAACTCAGCCCTCTGCAGTTTTTTAATCAAATGTTAAAAATGTCTTTTTACTAAGTTCCTTTATCTTTTTTCACTTAAAGTATAGTATACTTAAATTATTTTAAATCACAACCATCAGAACATCAATTAGAAACCCTGACCATGAATAGGAAAGCAGATYATATCTCTGCTAACCTACTGTAAAACACCAGAAAGATATGATCCAAGTATTTCTGAAGATGAAAATAGGCCCTAAAAAAGAAATCATAAAGCTGAAAAAAACATAAGATTTCAAATGGAATCATACATCCTAAAATAAGCATTTGGAAATATATTAAAACATCCTAAATCAGAATTATGARAACTACAAACAGAAATTACAAAACAGATGAAAGGGCATATTATCCTATTCCTCTTTAATATTCAATGTCTCCTATTTTGCCAACCCTAAACCCAATCTTGCCACCCAAGATAAAGTATCAAATCTAGGAACAAACTTTCAAAGGCTTATCCTACTCCTTCAAACAGAATGTTAAATCCTTCACAAGTTTCTCTACCTCAAAACTGCTCACTCAGTACTCTCCACACTGCCAAAAAATCTTGTTTTATTTTGAAACTTTCTGCTTCCTTCATTGCAATAAATCACTTTTAAGTCCTTCTTTCTAAATCCGCCCTGCCTATCCATCTCTGATATTCTCAAGTTAAACAGTAACTCTTCTCATACTTCTCCATCATACTTCATTAAACACCATTTCCACTGTAAACAAAAAATATCTTGTTGTGACTCTACATCTCAAGTTTTCACTCAATCTGGTTTTTGTTTTTGGCACTGCACTAAGAGTTGGGGTTACAATGAATAATAAACCATAATAACCAGACTTTGAAGAAGAGTTTAACTCTTCAGGAAGAGTCAGAGTAACCATAGCTATGGTAACTGTATCAAGAGGTATACAGAGAGAATTCTATAATAATTTTTGAACATACATTATACCTTTGCCCAAATACATACATCTTGAAAGTTCAAATACCTAAATCAGTCTGGCATTTAAAGGCTACTCATTTTAGTCTTACTTTATCTTATCCTATTTTCCCCCACATGTCAAATTGAATTATTTCTTCTCTGTAGCAGATAGGCTTTTAATATGGTTCCCAATTATCTCCTTCTACTGCTTTTTATGGCCTTGTGTAATCTCATATCTTTAGAGTTTAAGCAAGATGGGTGACTTCCTTCTAGGCCAAACTCTCTTGTTGGCTTTCATGACACAACCTGCATGGTAGATCCAGCTTCTCAGCCTGGATCTAAAGTAGTTACAAACATTACTCATCTTTCAACATTTATCAGTTCCCAAATATTTATATTTTTATATCTATCTTCCCTTCCTACCCATAAACTTTCTTCATCTAACTCTGCCATATTTTTCCTTGTTTCATCAATTTTTACATGTAATATACTTATATAGTTATACAACATATATAATTCCAAGAAAACAGTAAACTGAATAAACACAAAAATATTCCTACCTGATTAAGATTAAGATTGTTTTCAATACTCAGAGGAATGAGATGTGGCAATACTTTTCCAGCCAGCTGCTCTTTGGTGATTCCCAGCTTCTTATGAGTAAAAGTACATTTGTAAATACCTGATAGAAAAGAATGTGACTAAATTTTATAAGTTAACACTATAAGTTAATAGTAATCATTCAAACAGCATGTCTGTATGAAATTTTTTGGTAATTGATATAGTATAAATTTTTCCCAGTCAGAACCTCAGAATGAGGATGCTCTTACATATGGATAGAATAATTTCAGCCTTATCATCAATACAGATTTAAATAGTATGACATATTTATCCTATGCTCTTTTGAGCATGTAACAATAGCATATTAAAAGCTTCATCAGGGCTAGGGTTGTGGCTCAGCGGTAGAGCGCTCTCCTGGCATGTGTGAGGCCCTGGGTTCGATCCTCAACACCACATATAAATAAATAAAATAAAGGTAATGCGTCTACCTACAACAACAAATATTTAAAAAAAAAAAAAAAAAAAAAAAAAAGCTTAATCAGATCCAGGTTCAGTTCTCACAGTAAAGCAGTAAGGTTACAGAATACTCCTCTGTTCATAAAACATCTATTTCAGACTTCACATCTACACTTAAGGCATCTATTTCAAAGTATTTAAGTATATGTACATTACATGTATTCACTTTTTATCAAATAAAATTCAACATGTTTGAAACTTAAAAATTTAACCCCACTATCATTCCCTACTGTCTCACCTATTTATTTGACCTTCAAGACCACACTTGTTATACCCATTCCACAGTTTTCTGGTTGTAAATTGTACATTTGCTCCTAATTCTCTGAATACCTTTGTGTTATTAAGTGTTCTATATATAATCCAAAGCTTTATCTGCCCTATCTGCTATTATTGTTAATATACACATAGCTGATATATGCAAACAATAATTTTATTAAGCGTCTATTAAATATTTACTAGACACTATGCTCATTATATGCTCATTATATCTCTTTGTTTCACTGAATTCTCATAAAAATCCTACAATGATGTTATTTTTATCCTTATTTAATAATTGAAGAAACTTTTCAAGATCACCCCAGGAACTAGGAACCAAGAGAACTCAGATTAGAATCAGAGCCCCTTTCTACTATGCAAAACTCTTGCTCAAAATGAACTTCTTTGAGCAAAAAAAAAAAAAAAAAAAAGATTCATACCATAACCCAAGAGTTCTATATCCACAGAGATCTGTAATAAATATTTGCTAATCATTTCTAAAAATATTCACTAAGTTGCACATTATAGTAAGTGTTAAGGTACCTAAATAAGTAGTATAGTGTCTCTTAAAAATAAAAAATCTAAAATTTAATAAAAGATTTTTTTTGCTTCTATAGTTATGTCTGTTTCTATTGTAAAAGGATGTTCTTAGACATTTGCTCTGACATTTCCATATTATATTTTCACAGCTTTAACTATATACAATTTCAGAGTTTTTGGACAGAGTAATTTGCCAATAGAATAAAATGTGCTTTAAGACTAATATGCTTAATCAATAAATCACTTAGCAATGAAACATAATGGTTAAGATTCAAATGTATATAAATTTTAAAAATCAGCTTTACTACTCCCCAGCTGTATGATCTTGAATAACTCAACCTATCTGAGCCTTAGTTTCATTGTTATAAAAAATAATAATAATAGCTATCTCACTGTATTTGGGGGAGGATAAAATAAGGCAGAAAAAATACTTTGCCTCTTAGAAGACTGTTATCAGAATTTCAACTTTGCCTCTCTTACTGTGTACCATTTTATGGGGAAAACTATATGCTATCATGATATTTGCAAAGTTAGGACTCCCAAACATCTTATCCTTTATAAATGTGAAGATTCTAATGCCTTACCTACAGTGACACTGCCACATCAATGTTTATAGCACTCAATTCACAGTAGCTAAACTATAGAACTAACCTAGGTGACCTTCAACAGATAAATGAATAAAGAAATTGTGGTACATATACACAATGGAATATTACTCAGCCTTAAAGAAGAATTAAATTTTGGCACTTGCTGGTAAATAGATGGAGCTGGAGAATATCATGCTAAACAAAATGAGCCAATCCCAAAGAACCAAAGGCCAAATATTTTCTCTGATATTCGGACGCTAATTCACAATAGGGGGTGGGAGAAAATAGAGGTATTTTGCACTAGACAGAGGGGAGTAAAGGGAGGGGAGGGGACATGGGAAAGGAATTGGGTAGAATGAATTAGACATTATTAACCTATGTGCATATATGATTACATGACCTGTATAACTCTATACTATGTACAACCAGAATGAGAAGTTATACTCCATGATATATGATGTGTCAAAATGTATTCTACTGTTATGTATAACTAATTAGAATAAAAAATATTTTTAAAAAAGACTCTAATGCTTTTACTAAAATCAACACAAAGAGCAAAGTTATATTACAACCCCCATCATATTTCAATTACTGATTGCTATAATAATGAAAATCGAGTACAATGGTTTTATAAAATGGAAAATTTACTTGCATAACTATAAAATAATAAAGTAGAATAAAATGACTTTAAGTTTCAGGTACCTAAAATTCCCATGAGGACTGCAGGTTCCTTGGATGGAATTTGTTGTAAGAAGGGTAGTATATCATCAAGTACAAACCACTTATCCAAGTATTCCAAAATCTTTCCTAAGCACACTAAGGAATTCACACGAACCTATTAAAATGAATTGCATTAGCCATGTAAAGTCTATGTAACACAGAACAAAATATTTAGTGTAAATTTCATCTTCATATAGATATATGCTAAAATTTCAAGAATAAATGTAGGTTTTGAAGACATGTTATATTAACACAGAAAATTCACTTATTTTAATTCTCCTGACTTTAGAAAGAATTTGTGATTACTTTACCAGGACACTGGTTAGCTGAAGATAAAGGAATGACTTCAATTTTGTATTATTTTAAATACAGTGATGAGAATTTGAGAAACTTTATCTACATAGGAATTGACTGAGAACATTCCTTTGGGAACATTTCAGTTTTAAAAAGAAATTCATTCTCCCTACTAACTGATAAATTTCACAAGGATTTCAATATTTTATTTTAWTTCTGGTTCAATTCTTTTATGTGTAGAGGATGGGGGGAGTGCTGGGGTTTGAACTTGGAGGTGCTTAACCACTGAGCAATACCCCCAAACCTTTTTATTTTAAGAGGAGGTGCAAGTTGTTTAGGGCCTCACTAATTTGCTGAAGCTGGTTCTGAACTTGCAATCCTCTACCTCAGCCTCCCAAGTTGCTGGGATAACAGGCATGTGTCACCATATCTGGATCAAAACTAAATATTTTCACATTTAAAATTATCCATATTTATCTAAAATGCAGTTTTCTATTTCTAACTGTCTTTGACACAGTTACTAAGACCTGACTCAACTTTTGATAAATAGGTCATATCCTAGTTCTTAGCTAGAATCTGTTAAAATAGAATCAAAACCCCTAATATCAATAAAACTCCAGTTTAAAAAAAATTAAAAATAAAAAATAAACTAAGGGCTGGGATTGTGGCTCAGCAATAGAGTGCTAACCTAGCTTGTGCGAGGCCCTGGATTCAATCCTCAGAACCACATAAAAATAAATAAAATACAGATATTGTATCAAGACAACTAAAAAATAAATATTTTTTTAAAAAGTAAACTAAGAAAAGTAGAAAATAATTTGGTTAAAATCACACCATATTTGTACAGAAAAAGTGAAAATAATTTTCCATTTCTGAAAAAAAAATGAGTTTTCTGAAATTTAAATGAGAAATATTATAAATTCATGATGATATCTGAAGGCTTAACTTTGTCAGATTAAGTTTTATAATAGGAAATGCTACATCTACTGGAATATATATGTGCATATATTTTTTCTTAAGAGAAACTATAAATTCTGGTTTTATTTTATTTTATGTAAATATACAACATTAATCACACAAGTATTTTACCTGTGTAGAATTTTTTTTCTTTATTTTCAATATTAAGGTATAAGTCTAACTCACAACATGTTTTACAAAATTTCTAGGTTAGAATTTTTATTTTTTTTTTAAAGAGAGAGAGAGAAAGAGAGAGAGAGAGAGAGAGAATTTTTTAATATTTATTTTTTAGTTCTCGGTGGACACAACATCTTTGTTGGTATGTGGTGCTGAGGATGGAACCCGGGCCGCACGCATGCCAGGCAAGCGCGCTACCGCTTGAGCCACATCCCCAACCCCTAGAATTTTTAAATCTTAGACAACGTGCCCATGAATGCAACTCAGAAATGCACATGTGCCACTCTGAAGGCAGGAGCACTGAAAAGTGCTACCTAAAATGCATTTAWCGCAGCCATGGCAGCAAACACCTATAACCCTGAAGACTTGGGAGCTGAAGCAGGAAGACTGCAAATTCAAGACCATCCTCAGCAATTTAGTGAGGGCCTAAGCAACCTAGCGAGACCCTGTCTCAAAATAAGAAATAAAAAAGGGCTCGGATTTAGCTCAATCCCTGGGTTCAATCCCCAATATAAAAAAAAAAAAAAAGCACTTAAAAAGTGATATATAAAATGCAAATCCATTCCAGTTACTGTTATAAATATATTCATTATAAATTCTTGTAAACAACACATCAGTGGGCATTAATGTAGATCATTTCATTCAATTTCCTGTGGTTCCTCTGCATATATAACATATTTCACTGCATAACTGTCACAAGCATTAATATGTATTCATGAATACTCTATGCAATCTACTCTTGCATAAAAGACAGGTACATAATAAATAATTTTTAAGTAATACCAGCACAATTTTGGGGGTGAAAACAGTTTCACATAATGGTCAGACCCCACTTTTTGGAAAAAATTATTGGCATAAAATCTGACAATTCCGAGGTAAAAAAAAGTACTCAGAACTGAACAAGAATGTATACTTGCAGAAAATGTATGCTAAAATGTGTACTGCCATAAGATATAGTAGTAAGATTTTTTGAAATGGCACTTTGAAAACTGAATTTTAAGCTATGTATATAAAGCCATCATCTATTTTGAAAATTCAATCATAAACTTTGAGAACTTCAAAGAAAAAGACTGCCTTTGAAATCCTCTTAATGATGATGAAGAAAGACTCAGGAACTGTTCGCTCAAGGCCACAAAGGTAGTTAGTATAAAAATGAGAATAAGAACAAGATTCTTGACTTCAGTTCATTTCATACTTGTTCATTTGGGTAATGATGTTATGTTTTCAACACTGAGTCTTTCTACCAAAAAACATAAACTGAAATAGATTAGATAGCTACAGAGTAAAATCATGTCAATTATACTGCTTTTTGCCTATAATCATATTAAGCTAAAAATGTTTATTTTATTTAAATTTATATTTCATCAGATAAAGATGGATGGGATATCTAAATTTAATAATATGCTTTTTACCAAATATCAATATAAAGAACTAATCAGGCAAAGGAAAGACATTTCTCCCTCAATATTACTTCTACAATGAAATATCATTGTGATAAATTCTTAGAGAGAAGGTTAGGAACTTTACTATTTTTGGTATGAGATAATGAAAATTATGTTATTTGTTCTACTTCCTTGACCAACAAGTAACCTAGTGTTAAAATTCTATAAATCAAAGGACCCAGGTACCTATCTTTGGTCCATATTTTTTAGTAAAACTATTTTCCCCACTGTACTCATATTAATTTATTGTTTTACTGCCCTCTACTTTTTCCTGAAAGTGGGCAAGTAAGTGGAGAATAAGAACTTAGAGACAGATGACTAAAAATAAAGGCAATTTATAAAAGGAAGCCATTCAAAAAGTTTTTAGGCTTATACACCAAGTTTAACTCTTATGATTATTTTAAAASTAAGAACAAAATAACTTGTGAGTTTAAAACGAAAAGGATTAGGAGAAAAATAATCACTCAGCTTTTCTATTGAAGCACTCAAAGACAGGGAAAGGTGGGTAAGGTTAGGGATGTAATATTATAAAATGCATATCAAAAAAACTATAGCTCATTTTTATATACAGGTGACTTACAACCAAGACCAATTATATGAACAAACCATAATAGGGTTATTAAACAATAAGAAAATGATTTAAATTACTGAAAAAAAATTAACATGCAAGTAACTACTTACAGCAAGGGAAGATGTTTGTAGACAGGCATTTTTAATTCTTGGTATCAAAGCATTTTTCATGGATGGGTAGTCTATAAGATTTGCAAAGGTTGGAATGATGTTTAGACACAGCTCCTATTAAGAAAATAAATCTGATCAATCTTAGAAAAAGATTCTCTCATCCTTTATCTCACATATTCAAAAGCATTTTTCATTTGTATGGTTAATTTGTCATAGTTTGAAATAAATTTCCACATGTATTATGTGGTTCTTTCAATATTCTTCCTAAAAAGAACTATTAAAAACACTTTTCAGTTTTACAGATAAGGAAAAGGGCTCAGAAGACCTTCCTCAGGATTATACTAGATTGTTAAGCCAGACACAGTAGTGTTCTCCTTTAGTCCCAGCACTATGGAGGCTGATGTGGGAGGATTATTTGATCAGCCTAGGGGTTATAAGACTATCCTGGGCAACATATCAAGATCCCATTTCAAAAACAAAACACAAAAACTCAAAATAAACAAAAGTCATAACAGCTAACATACAGTATACAAAACTCCCTAGTGTGATTCCTAATCTCTTTCCTTAACACAAATCTTCATTTATTTGTTTGCATTCCAAGCATGGGTCTCTATCACTGATCTAGAACCCCAGACCCCTTAAAAGTAAGAACACATAGGTTTTATTATCTTTTATAAGGAAAAATCAAGTATAAAATCATGTAAAAAATATTTTTTAATTATATATATATCCCTATAATATATATATATATATATATATATATATCCCTATAATAGTATGTAATACATGCTTTTTTTTAATCTTTGCTGAGGATCGAAATTAGTGCCTCACATGTGCGAGGCAAGCGCTCTGCCACTGAGCCACAACCCCAGCCCTACAATGCTTTTTAAAAAAAAATTTAGAGCTCTTAATACTATCAAGGAGAAAATATATTAAGATGACATTATAAAATTTCAATTTTTAAATTTTTGTGTACATGCGTCTGCCTATATAAGCTTAGGATAAAAAGACTAGAATGATGTATMTGGAATCAATGTTAAGTGTAGTCATTTCTGAAAGAGGAATTTACTTCTTTATATTTTTAAGTATAGTTGACTCTCTGTATTCATGAGTTCCACAACTATGAACAACCAATCAAAATTAAAATTATTCAAAAAAATAATTTTACTGAATATGTACAGACTTCAAAAAGGCACTGGGCATGCTGGCACACAAATGAAATCCTGCGGCTCAGGAGGCTGAGACAGGAGGATCAAAAGTTCAAAGCCAGCCTCAGCAACTTAGCAAGATCCTGTCTCAAAAAATAAAAAGGGCTGAGGATGTGGCTCAGTGGTTAAGCACCCTTGGGTTCAATCCCTGGGGGGGGGGGGGAGGCATTATTCCCTAAACAATGCAATTATTTACACAGCATCCACACTGCTTTAGGTATTATAAGTAATCTATAGGAGAATAGGTGTAGGTCATATTCAAGTACTATGCTATTTTATATATGAACTTGAGCATCTGCAGGTTTTAGTATCTGAGGGTCACTGGAACCAATCCCCTACAGATACCAAAATACAATTATACTTTAAAATTCTGAAAGAATAACTAATTAAAAAAAAAAGAAAAAAGTTAAAGACATTCTTGCTAACTAATATCATGCCATACTCTAAATGTTTTAGGCTAGAGGTATAGCTTGGCATTTGTGAGGCCCTGGGGTCAAACCCCAACATCAAAAATAAATAAATAATTTAACTAGGAATGGTGATAACAAGAAAATGAGGGAGACAGGGTGATTTGAGGATTCAATGAGATAAGGAAAAGAAGAAGAAATGACTTGAGAACTAACTGGCTAAAGAACAGAGATTTCAGATAACTTGTAAGGACAAAATGATCCTTGTAGAAAGCACAAAAAAGGACATTACTAAGGATAATAGAGGAGCACATATGTATCAAGAAAGAAGCTACCGACAATATCACGCAAATTAAAGATATTCACTTATAGTTAGCCCACAGAAATTAACTACTAAGAAGAAGTTACCAAAATACTGGCCTGAATTTTATTTGTTCTAATTTATTCCCAAATTTCTAAAGGCAGATGTAGAGGTTTATATGTTTGTATTTACTCAGAACTATAATAATTGATTAATTATAATAATTTGTGGATAAGAAATAAAAGCTACAGGTAAGAATGCAGAGTAAGTGGGAATGCAAATTAGTAGAGGCATTATGACAAACAGCATAGAGGTTCCTCAAGACACTAGAAATAGAACTAAATTATAATGGATTATTATTATTCAACCATAAAAAAGAGCAAAATTCTGAGAGCTGGCTTGGTTGTCTCATTCTTTTGTGAGATATTTTCCCTCCTTTATTGTTAAGAGGTCCTGTTTTTCCATGGAGCAACATGAATGGAACTTAAGGGCATCATGTTAAGGAAATAAGTCAGGGACTAAAACAAATACCACATATTCTCAATTACATGTGGAAGATAAAAAGTTGATCTCAGAAGTAAATAACAGAATAGTGGTTATCAGAGCCTGGGAAGTATATGAGGGAGGAAGACAGGATGGTTAATGGGTACAGGGGCACACACGGCTAGATAGAAGGAACAGCTTACAATGTTCTGTAGCACAGTGGAATAACTTGGTTGACAACAATAAATATTTCAAAAACACTAGTAAAGAGGATCTGGAATATTTTTAACATGAAGAAATGATAAACATCTAAGGTGGCAGATATTACCCTGATCTATCTTTACACATTGTATAAATGGACGGAAATATCACTCTGTACAATTACTGTGTCAATTAAAAACAAAAAATATATAAAAGATAAAATTTCTTAAAAATTCAAGCTACATTTAAGGGACAACGTTCCACAAACAAGAGAAGAGAAAGGGCAAGGATTAGCAAGCAGTGAAAAACTTGCTCCTGATACCAGGGCCTCCTTAGGGAAGGTCAGCCTTTAAGATGGGAACAGACAAAGAGAGACAAGACAGACTTTCGCCAAGGACCCGTAATACTTGTATTATTACAAAGCAATTTGAAAGTTTGAAAGTACTCAATGCTATATAATTGAACTCAGGGAAAAAGGTTACAAACAGGCAAAGTTAAATTATGTCTAAATCACTAGGCTAAGGGAGAAGRGAGCTCTTTCAGGATGAATAACAGGAGAATGAAAGAAACAAAACCTTAAGGAAATCTAATCAGCAAATTCTCAGGAACTTTGAGACTTCTTATTTTATATCTTCTCTATAATTGGTGGTGAGGTGATGAACACATCTTCTGTATTTGATTTAAAAGGTAAATAATTTTTAAACTTTGTCAGATGTATTTTTATGCTTCTATTTAAGGTCCCTATCCTTTGTAAACCATCTACTACATTTCCAAGTGTGCTTCAGAACCACCTCTAACATCTTAAATATTTATAATCAAACTTTATTTTTAAAACTTCTACTTAGAAATGAATTTCAGAAGTTATATTCCAGACTTCTCTTTGCCTGAAACATGAGAAAAAGATTCATGTTTCTTGCTTTCTCTAGAACTCTCTCAATTATTTAGATACAATTTGTCAAATTCAGGCATATTGAAACTAGTTAATTAGACTGGTGACTAAAATTTATATTGAGTGATTATCAGAAATGCTGGTTTCTAAAATTAAGCAAAGTCGCACTACTGGACTTAACTATGTATTAACTATTTTAATTAAATACTGGCTGATACTTGTTGGTTTGATTATGAAGAAGAATGGCCTTTTATACTCAACCTTCTTCCCTCCTCCTTAATTTCTCTAAATATAAAACCAGCTTGACTGAACTGGGCCTTCAATAACATTTCAGGAGGCTATAATTATGGCCCCTTTAAAAAGCTGAAAAACACAGGTAAGCACATCTTCCCCACTCAACCTAAGATCTAATTATAAGGGGAGAAAAAAAACCTGACAACAACCTCCTCACACCCTTGAATAAAATCATAAAGGTTGAAATAAGTTTAAAAAGTGACCTGAAATATGTGGTACTAGGTGCATAAGAAGGAAAAAATTAATAACTTTCATAAATTTAAATTCCAGAGTTTTTTGTCAGAATTTCTTTTCTGGAAAAAAGACTTTTAAAAAAAGACCATAACCTTTCAAACATGAATCCATGTCTGCAGTGAGATGTTCTTAACATAAGTAGATATTTTCCAAAATGAAAAAATTAAATTATACTTTTGAGAGGGGAATTTACTGGGGACTGAGTCCAGGGGCACTAACCATTGAGCTACATTTCCAGCCCTTATTTATTTTGAGACCAGGTCTCACTAAATTGTTTAGGGCCTCACTAATTTGATGAGRCTGGCCTCGGACTTGCTATCCTCCTGTTTTMGCCTCTCAAGTCACTGGGATTACAGATGTGTGCCACTGCACCTGGCTAAATTATACTTTTAATAGAAATCCAGAATGTTTTTCCAGATAGAGAGCCCAAAAAAACCAAAATTTTAATAGCAAAAACTACAGAAYTAACAGCTTAACAAAGTATTTCTTTTAAGATCGCCTTTGTAAGACAAAATGAGACAAGCAGGGACCTCCATGGAAAAACAGGACCTCTTAACAATAAAGGAGGGAAAATATCTCACAAAAGAATGAGACAACCAAGCCAGCTCTCAGTCTTATAGGGTTAACAGACATACCAGAAAACTGGGAGTTAAACAATGGACCAATCTTCAAGGGTATAAAATTAAGATAATACACCCAAAGACAGGAGGTTGGGAAATCAGCTCAGCCTTCTAAAACTATGTGGTCATCAGAAACATCAAGAAACCAGAGCAAGACAAGACAATGTCATTAAAATCAAACCCACTGAGACAGGACAATAGTTTTCCCTGTTCTATAAACATGAGGGACTTTCTCAGAGAAAAAGGAGCAAATTCCACATGGTAAGAGGCGAATGCATATATAGAAAGAATAGTCACTAAAGTAATCTGAAGTTATCTTTACTTTATTAGCATAGTAAAAAGCACACAAGGTGGAAATTCAGCTTACAATGAAACATGCAATGCATAAAGAAGCATAATGAAGAGAACAGGTGCAACTAAAACTCCACATCTATATGTGATGACATCAAGAGACTAGGACCCTCCCTATTCTGTAGATGCCATAAAAGCTGTACACTTTTGTCCTTTGAGTTAGTCTGGGATTTCTGTTTCTACATGCTGCCTTCCTTGTGCTCAAGCATAATAAAGAGTCTTGTTTCTGTCCTAGTTGTGTCTTTATATTAAAGACATCTTCTGATTGAGAACACAGGAAGCCACAGAGTTAGTGACAAAGGCGTTACTGACTACACATGCATTAAGAATGGTCACACTGGGGTTGGGGTTGTGGCTCAGTGGTATCACTCCTGCCTCGAACTCATGGAGGCCCTGGGTTCGATCCTCAGCACCACATAAAAATAAATAAATAAAAATTAAAGATATTGTGTCCATCTACAACTAAAAAATATTTTTAAAAAAGAGTGGTCACACTAAATTACTGTGCTTATCTATCTCCTTGCAATACAAATTAACTTCACTGAAAGAGGAACAGCATTACTAAACAAAAATTTGAGTTATCAAACATGAAAGAAAATTATGAGCATGGAAAATACTTAATGCTTTCATAAGAAAGTCACATAAACCTTTTTAAAATCTTCATTGATAATTATCCATTCAGAAAGAAGTATACAATAATTCAAACCATAGTAAATCCAATTTTGTTCCACAATATTACATTTCTGATAAATATGGTCTAGTTCATGAAACAGGCATTTATCAACTGATTCTTTAGTTATAAACAGATACATTTTAATAATAGTACATCAATAATATAATTCAATAAATATGTTTACTACTGAGCTTCATATGAAATGTTATGACTTAATCCTAAAATGTACTTGACTTCTTTTTTCTGCTTTAAGAATCAAAATCATCACTAAAGAAAAACAAGCTTTGTACCTGGATCTGAATAGAAGGAGCTTCTAGTGCTCTATAAACCATGGGTAAAACACTGTTCTTTATTTCGTCAGGAGGAGTTTTGGTTAGTAGCAAATCCATTTTTTGTAGGAAAATTAACAAAATCTGTTTAGAAAAAGGGGAAAACGTATTAATATCTAGAATCTTTAAGAGATTAGATTTATGCCAAAATTTAACATTTTTCGAAAGAATAAGTTTATACTTTGACACTCACCATGTTGCTAGCCTGAAGGCATGAAAGACAAAAACAGAAATAAAGTCTCTTACATTGCTAAGAGCATAATATTTAAGCATCTTTTCTCGGTTTAATTATTTAAATAAAGACTAATTTCATAACTCTCACACATGTACAGTAATGTATAATTAACCAATATCTGAAAAGCTACTGGGTAAAAAAATAAAAGCCTGAGGGCAACAAAGTCGGATGTCCCACAATACATTCCATCTCTGGCTTCCATGAAGTTCAAGGGAAAAAGAGAAGGTACAGACATAAAAAGGTCTATAAGGAAAACTTCTAGAAAGAAATTAAGTGTCCCTGATACTGTTTTCCCCACCACCTGGCTGCCTCCACATATTGAAATAATAAGAAACAAATTAACCCTTCTATTCATGCAGAATACTTAACTTGCCAACACTTAGTTAAAAAGTTTCAGGAGGAATTTTTTTTTTTAAAGAGAGAGAGAGAGGAAATTTCTTAATATTTATTTTTTTTAGTTTTCGGCGGACACAACATTTTTGTATGTGGTGCTGAGGATCAAACCCGGACAGCCAGGCGAGCACGCTACCGCTTGAGCCACATCCCCAGCCCTCAGAAGGAATTTTTAACTGAGCAGGTAAAGGGGAAAAAATGCCAAACAATAGGCGCAAATAAAAATTCTGATTGTTGGAGCTGGGGTTGTGGCTCAGTGGTACAGTACTTGCCTAGCATGTGTGAGGCTTTCAGTACAACATAAAAATAAATTAATAAAATAAGGCTATTAAAAAATTAATAAAAATTCACATTGTTTCTTAGGATACTATTTTGACTGATACATAGCTTAGGGAACATTTGACTATACCAATTTTCTTCCTAACACTTTGAGCACTGGTGGGGAGCCTTTCTGCAAAGGTTACAGACTAGGACCCTCCCTATTCTTTCTCCCTCCTTAGTCCCTAAGAACCTGGCCATAGACTGCCTCTTTTCAAGGGAAGGATTAGAGTTACAAAACCATTACATCAAATAGTTGATAATTGACTAATAAACTATTGCCATATAGTGACAGAAACACACAATAATATATGCCACAAAAGCTCATTTCAGGGCTGGGTTTGTGGCTCAGTGGTAGAGTGCTTGCCTAGCACATGTGAGGCACTGGATTCGATTCTCAGTACCACATAAAAAATAAACAAATAGGGGCTGGGGATGTGGCTCAAGCGGTAGCGTGCTCGCCTGGCATGCATGCAGCCTAGGTTCAATCCTCAGACCACATACAAACAAAGATGTTGGGTCTGCCGAAAACTAAAAAATAAATATTGAAATTCTCTCTTTTAAAAAAAATACAATAAAATAAACAAATAAAATAAAGGTATTGTGTCCATCTATAAGAAAAATATTTTTTTCAAAAAAGCTCATTTCATCTCAACAACTCCTTTCATTTTAGAAATGAGGAAATAGAAGCTTTAAGATGGTAATGTTAAACCTAGTCATACTTCCAGTAAAAAGATTTTAAAAGTCCTAATTCAAATCCAGGTATGTGACCCCACTGCTCTTAAATCCAGATGACCTTTAATCTGATAAATACATATTTTACAGAATCCACATGAGAAATTAACTTTTTTTTCACTTAATAATACACACACACACACACACACACACATACATTACTTCCATGGTGCTCTAAGCATTTCATTTTTCTAATGAAAGTATTAGCAAAAAATAAAGAAAGAAAACAATTGGCACCAACTAAAGACAAGAATAACAAAATAAACAAAATTAATATTTCTTTTCCCAAACCTATAACTTTCAATAAAGTTAACTGGGAACAAAATAACACATGAAAAATTTCACTGCACTGAGATAGTAACTTGTGGAGCACTATAGACAAATACCTGCAAAGTTTAATTATAATTTTAGGAATAGTTCACATATGCAAAGTAGCTTCTGACTAAYGAAAAAGCAAGATCGGATACTTACCTCAATTTTTAAAAAGTCACATAGTCACTTCTTTTGTTTTCAGTGGTAGTCATTATCATGAATAACAGATAAATATGAAAAAAATACCCAAAACATACCTGGATTGGCTCCTGTTGTTTAAATACAGGACCAAGTTCAGGTAGAATTAATTTGACATATTCTTCTTTGGTGCATTCCTCAGCAATCAGCAAAACATTGGGCAAAACAAAAGGTACCATATCAGGATTTACAAATTCTGAAGTCAAACAAGGCAAAATTCTCTGCACAATGACACGCTGAAAGGCAAAGATGTTTTTATAAAACCAAAATTTATTTCAGGTCTTTCATATTAACACTGAAATGTAAAGCCTCCATTCCCTCTAGGCAAGGTGACCATGTAATTTACAGTTGAAACTGGTACACTTTTTAGAGAAAAATGGGATTCTATTGCTAATTATACAAGATAGGATGTCATGGGTAAAAAGGGATATATTAAGGAAATCTTCCTTAGTTTTCACTAACATTTCCCATCTTAATTCCTTCATTACTATGATTCATACGATACAACTTAAACACTATCCTGCATTGATTGCTGCTTCATGCATGTTAACCATTTACTATAATACCTTGAGAGCAGGGACAATATTTTATGCTACCTCTTTCTCTTTAAGTAAATGGTTAAACAAATAACAGGTAACCAATAGCTATTCCATAGATCAAACACTGTAAATATTTTTGCAATTAGGAATTACTAGTTTTACAATCTGTGGCTTTATCATTCACCACTACTTTACTACTTTACACCTATGATTAAATATGTCAGAGAAAGAATTTTGAAGGAATCGAAAAGTTAGCACCAATACAAAAGCATCTACTTAACTACTGGTAAAGCAGTGATTTCCACAATGAAGTTTACAGGCTTCTGACATTTAATGCCCAACTTTTTAAATCCCAATAATTTTTGGACCATAACTTCTTTCTGGCTTCAATCTGTTAACTTTTATAATTATTTATGTACCTAAAGCAAAAGTTTTATTATTTCTTTCAAAGAGTTATTATAGTAAGTGAAGTAAACTTTGAATTAAAAAATCCTGGCTATTATAAATGAATCAACAACAAACCTTGGGCAACTTTGGTAGAACCTTTGGCAGTCCTTTGAAAAATTGTGATTTCTGAAGATTATCTCTTTGGAATAAGGTATCAAAATATTGAAGTGTTACTGCACCAACATCATCAAAGAAGGGAATCTAAATATGTGGAAATAAATTATTTTGATAAATATTAAGTTGAAAGTACTTTTCATATCTGAAATTACCACATATGGTAAAAATATGTTCAGAAACACAAGATGCTAAAGAGCACTTAATTCTAATTGTAAAAATCAGAATAAGAAAATAAATTATTTTTCAAGTTTAAATCTTCAGAATTAGTACCTTTGAATTGGCTAGGCAACAGCCTTTTTATACATATAAACCTCTAAAATATTGAAAGATTAAGTAAAATATCTTGAAGGCATAAACAGCACTAGTTATTTATTAAAATCCATTCTTACATGAGCCAAACAGAGGGCTAGACTTTTTTCTGGGAGCAGAATGCCTGCATACCTAATTGTGATTGTTAGGACTCTGTTTATTTGAAATCTTACTTTTCTATCACAGAATTTATGTACATAAATTATTTATCTGTTTTAAAAGAGGTTGAATATTCAACATAATCAAAAAGACAAATATCATCTAAGGACCGAATCTTGATTTAGGAAAAAGTAATCTATTTTAACTTTTCATTTTTTTGTCCATCCACTAATGCAGAAATCTGTGTGTACTCACCTTTGTCATTTGATCTGCATCTGGTCTTACAGTTGGAGTGACATTTAACAATAGTTTCACGTGTTCACGGACTTCTTCAGGTATATTTGTAAGTGAGCTAGATCCTAAACGACTCAACTATTCAAGAGTGATAACAGTAAAAATTGAGTGCAAAATATTCAAAAAATATGCATTTATATTGATAGTCTTTTTAGAAAGATTTTTAAATTTCACTCAATGTTTTTAGATTAAACAAAACACTACTTTCACTGCTAAAACACTTATCTTTAATATCTGAAATTATTTCCGTTCCTAAAATAAAAGCCTAGTGTTTTAGACCATATTTCAATATTTACGCTGGTAAATGGAAGATTAAAGCTGTAATAACAAACTTTAACTAGTCTTCATTATTTATAGAAATCACTTTTATTAAACTGATTTTATGATAATATAAAATGAAGCACTAACTCTTAAGAATTTGGGTTACACTTTAGGAAAAAGAAAGAAACAATTAATTATTAATGAAAGCAAATATCAATAGGCAAATACCTGATCCAACTGCCTACTAAAACTTTTATAAATATCTTGCTTGTTGACTTCAAATATAGGTTTCCCTTTGTTAAATACGGCATACATAACAGTTCCTAAAGAATACATATCGCTGGCTGTTTCACAGCTCACAGAAAGTATATACTCAGGAGCCAAATATTCAGGATTTGGAAGACACAATGATGGTAAATTTGGGTCCCATTCTTTACAAGGAAACTTAGGCTGTAGAAAGACAGAAAAGAGATGACATCAATTAAATATTTCTAATGAAAGTAAAGCATTATCAAGCAATGTATCTTTAAATTTGTACTAAGTCATGTAAGTAAAAATGCCATTATCAGGGCCGGGGTTGTGGCTCCATGGTAGAGCATTTGCCTACCATGTGTGAGGCACTGGGTTCAATACTCAGCACCACATAAAAATAAATAAAATACAACACAATAAAATAAAAAATGCTATTATCATCTTTAATTGTAAAATTCCCAAATCCCCAAATATGGAAAGTATATGAAACAAAATGAGAGATCAGAATTCTCAAAAACTCGTGATTATTGTGAACTCCCTTCCAGAAAACAAATTATCAATACAAAGTGCAGTATAAACATGCAAAGGTTCATACTTTTTTTGGAAGCACAAAGACTAAGTTCAAATTCTGACTCTACCACTTAAAATCCATCTAAACTTAGGCATGTTATTTTATTCTATGAGCCTAACTTACTCATTTATATTGTTTCTATATCTCTCTGAGGATATGTTCGGATTAAATAAGTAAACACATGAAAAGCGTTTAGAAAATGCTTCAATAAAGGTTATTGTTATCATCATTATTGCTTTCATTATGCTACACAAAGAAAATTCCATGATCCAATGAGATAATATATGTTAATGTATTTGGCATTCTAAGTGGGGAAAAAAACTATTTAACCAAATAATTCTAAATTTATTTAGCTGTGGCATCCTTTTCTCAAGTAACATTAACGTGTAGGGAGTTAATGAGCTGAAGCATATTTTTAGATGCAATGAACACTAGAAATTTTCTATAAAAATGTGAATTAGTGGCTAGAGTTGTGGCTTAGCGGTAGAGCGCTTGCCTAGTGCATGTGGGGCCCTGGGTTCAATCCTCAGTACCACATAAAAATAAATAAATAAAACAAAGGTATTGTGTCTAACTACAACTAAAAAATATATATATTTTTTAAAAATGTAAATTAAAAAAAAAAAAACTATTCTAGGGCTGGGGCTGTAGCTCAGTGGTAAAGCACTTGCCTTGCATGTGTGAGGCACTGGGTTTGATCCTCAGCACCACAAAAAAATAAATGAAAATAAAAGTGTTCACCTACAACTAAAACAAAAAGAAAAAAAAAAAAAACTATTGTACCACATAGACTACATGTACCCTTTAACAGAGGTTACACTAGATTCTCTAGTCCATTCTAGATATAATCACAAATTTCCATGGCTTTAAAAAACTCAAAGACTAATAAAACTTTCATTACCTCTTGTTCAGAAGGATTGGTCGAAGACACACAAAAATCAAAACCCATTATTTTCCAGGCTCCACTTTTATTCAAAATTATATTTTCAGGAGTAACATTTCCATGAACCATTTTTACACTGCTATGCAAAAATGATAAACCTTCAGAAACCTATAAATGAAAAAAAAWTTTCTATTACATAAAGCTCTATTTATAACAATACAATGTGTCATAAAAATCATAATTATTAGCTAGGCATTGTGTACATACCTGWAATTCCATCTACTTGGGAGACTGAGGGAGCTTGAGGCAAGGGTGGGCAACCTAATGAGATGCTCTCTCAAAATAAAATTTAAAAGGGGTGGGAATATAGCCCAGATGTTCAAGGACCTGAGTTCAATTCACAGTATAACACCCCCCCCAAAAAAATCATAATTACTGCTGGTTCTTCCAATAAAAACAGTTTTTAATGACACCTAGCAATCAAATCTCATCATAAATGCAAAAGTTTAGATATTTTCAGCTGACAGGACAATCTAAGCATTAGTGGGGGGGGGGGGAAATCTAACTATAAAACCAAAGTACAACTCTCTATTAATTTCCTTTATACATGCACATAAACAGAAGAAAAAAACACCTTTTCCTATCCAAATTCATTCAGTTCCAGAGTTCAAAAAGTGAGGGAATTTTTTACTGAGTTACAGATAGTGAGTATTAAGACTTTACATACTAGTTCAGTTTTTCTGAACAGTATTGTGCTATTCTCAACTATTCAGATGATATTCATTTATTCTCACATTGGATTAATATTTGGTTAATTTTCTTATATCTATACCTGATATTATCACAAAATCTATGAAACAAAATGAAAGACTAATTTTTTGTCTCCAGAAGAAGTAGATTTGGGCAAGAAGTAGATTTTGACTTCAAGGATAACACTGTCCCTGGTTTTCCTCAAACTCCACTGAGCACTGCTTTTCAGTCTATTCTGCTGGTTCCTCCTTACTTTCCAAATGTCCTGGACACAATGTTTGGACCTCTGCAATTTGCCATCTACTCTCACTTTCTTGATGTTCCCAACGCTTTAATTATCATCTATGGGCTGAGGCTGTGGCTCAGTGGTAGGGCGCTCGCCTAGCACGTGCAAGGCCCTGGGTTCAATCCTCAGCACCACATAAAAATAAATAAAGGTATTGTGAAAAAAAWTTATCACCTATATGCTGACTATTCTCAATGTCTCCAGACTGAGCCTTTGTCCTAAAATTCAGATTGATTATCTGACTACTTTCATGACTTTTCTCCCCTTGAATTTTATAAGTATCTCAATCTCAGAGGAATCCAAATCAAGTTTCTCTCATGATTTCAAATTCTTTCCTCCTGTAGTATTTCCGGTATCTATTAATAATCACTTCACTTTTCTGGTTGTTTGGGACAAAAAAAACCTAAGTTATCCTGTACTACACTATTTTTATTATATAGCAAATCCTGCTACCTCCACTGTCATAATATACCACCTACCTTCCCTGCTCTGGACCATCATTATCTCTGACTGGAATTGTTCTAACAGCCACCAACCTTATCTCTTTGCTTCTGCTCTTGCCCTTCTACACACTTTAATCCTCAATACAGTAACTAGAGTAATCTATTAATATAACCCAGATCATGTCACTTTTCCTGCTCAAACCATTTAAAGGCTTCCCCTTTCAGAGTAAAGTATTCATCTAGCATAAAAGACCTCCCACCCAACCCAAGCCATAGCTTTCTGATCTTATCTCCTACTACTGGTCTTGTTGTTTACTCCTCTCCTTGGACATTTCACTATTTCACTATTCCTTGGACATTTTTACTATTCCTTGGTTCATGCATGATCCTGTCTCAGGGACTTTATACTTGAAGTTCTTTCTACCTAAATCATTCTTTCCCCCTAGTTACCTATATGGCTTCTTTGACTTTTTTAGTTTTTTCTCAAATGCCCCCTTTTCAGTGGGATGTTATTCTAACTATCCCATTCAAAAGTACATCCCTTTTCTCTCTCATCCAAATATTCCTCTTTTCCCTTCCCTCCTTTTTTCTTAACATCATTTCATCAAATCCAATTTACTGTATTCCCACATGATAATATGTTTCCAAATGAGAAAGATTTTTTGATTTGTACACCCCTATGCCTTTAGCACCCAGAACTATGCTAACAATATAGCTGTCCAACTTGAGAATTAATTCTCTTTAAAAATCCCCGCTTACAGTTATCAACATGAAGACAAGTCAACACTTAAAAGAGTGTAAAGAGGGCTGGGGTTGTGGCTCAGTGGCAGAGCACTTGCCTCACACATGTGAGGCAATGGGTTCGATCCTAAACACCACATAAAAAATAAATAAACAAAATATATTGTGTCCATGTTTAAAAAAAAAAAAAGAGTGCAAACAGCACAATTTTAGAAGATATCTGGGTTTGTGTCCCTACTTCCTTACTTACCACCTATGAAACTTTGAGCAGGTTACTCAATTTATATAGATCTCTGTGGACTACTTCAAATTGTGAAATATAAACTTTTTTTTAATAAGATTCCACACTACTTCTAATCCCTATATGTCTAGTCAGCCATCAGGACCTATTCTACCTCTACCTCTGCCTGACTGCACTCTGTACCTCTAGTCCTTCTTCTGATTTCTGCTGAAATCTTTTTTTTTTTTTTAATCTTTTTGTTTGTTTGTTTTTGTGGCACTAGGGATTGAACCCAGGGCTTTGTGCACACAAGGCAAGCACTATACCAACTGAGCTATATCCCCAGCCCCTCCTTCCTCTGAYTTCTGAGGAGGACTTTTATTTAAAAACTGTCATTAATTGGCCTAGGGAAGCAGCTCCATGATAGTGTGCTTGCCTAACATATATGAGGCCCTTTTTTTTTTTAGTTTTGTTTTGCCAGAGCTAGATTGAACCCAAACTATTACTTATTATTTCCTATATGTAAATACTATATAAACATTTAGAAATTCACACATTTGATCCTGACATCAAACTCTATGTTGTAGGGATTATTTCCCATATGCTTTCCCTATTCCAAAATTCTGGTCTTGTAGACTGATARCTCTAAAATACATTTCAGACCATGTCATCTGCCTTGCTTACAATTTTTCATTATTTCCCATCACCAGTAAGACATGTTTCTATCTTTCCAATTTCACTTTTCACCACTCTTAAATACAACCTGCTACTTCTAATTGCCTAAATACTACTAAGTGAATAGTACAATAAGCAAAGATTAAGAGGTTTAATAGTATTTTCCAAATAAAAGGATGTTCTTCATTTACAACACATTTGAACTCATGAAGTTCATTTAAAATTTACATTTTCAGGCAGGTGGGGTGGAGAACACCTGTTAACTCAGAAGGATGAGGCAGGATGATTGCAAGTTCGAGGCTAGCCTCACCAACTTAGCAAGATCCTGAGCAACTTAACAAAACCCTGTCTCAAACTAAAAAAATAAAAGGTAGGGGATAGCAATGTGGGAATGTAGTTAAGTACTACAGTACCCCTTAATTCAATCTCTAGTATTAAAAAAAAATTCACATTTTCAGAAATATATATTCCCCAAGTATAAATTTCAAGATATACAAAGTTTATCAAATTTAGAAAAGATTCCCTATTTTTATAAGAAAAAATAAATTCTTTGCTTATTGTACATTTCAGGCACAGATTTGGCAGATGTTTTTATTTAATAATCTCAGGAATCTTTAGAACAATTTTAGGATTGAGAAAAAAGATCATATGGTTACTATAATACACAAATCAATGAAATAGCATCAGGTTACCCAGAAATAAACCTTTGTATATGTGGTCAAATGACTTTTGACAAGGATACTAAAACCACTGAATGGGAAAGAAATAGAATTCAACAAATGGTACTAGGAAAACAGAACCACCTACAAAAAAATGATGGTGGACCTTTACTTTACACCATRAATAAAAATTAAGTCATGGCCGGGTGATGTGTAATTTAGGGTAGTGTGCAATACTTAGCATGTACAAGACCCTGCATTCAATCCCCAACACTAAAAACAAAAAACAAAAACTCAAAAGGATCACACACCTAACCTAAATCCTAACACTATAACACTCTTAAAAAAAAAAAATATACAGGGAAGCTTCATGACATTGGATTTGGCAATAATTTATTGACTATGACACCAAAAACAGAGGCAACTGAAGGAAAGGTATATAAAAGAGACTATCAAAATTTAAATTTTTCTGTGCATCAGAGAACAAAATCAACAGAGTGAAAGGCAACCCAAAAAATGGAAAAAAACTCTTACAAATTACATATCTGATATGAGATTAATGTCAATAATATATGAAGAGCCGGGCACTGTGGCTCACACCTATAATCCCCAGCAGCTCGGAGGCTGAGGCAGGAGGATAGCAAGTTTAAAGCCAGCCTCAGCAACTCAGCAAGACCCTACCTCCAAATAAATATAAAAAGGGCTAGAGATATGGCTCTGGTTAATCACCTCAGGTTCAATTCCTGGTACCAAAAAAATAAATAAATAAATAAGAATATATGAAGAACTCTTACAATTAGATAACATACACACACACACAAAAAAAAAAAAGATTCAAAAATGGGCAAAGGACTTATTGACTAGACATTTCTACAAAGATATATTAATGACCAAAACACATGAAATGATGTTCAAAGTCAGTAATCATTAAGAAATGCAAATCAAATCACTGTGGTAGTAGGAGCAAATGTGACTCCATTTTGTTTTATGACTTCATCTTGTAAAACAACCATGCCAAGTAGAAGAGTCATGACTGGAGCAAGATGTTCTTTTCCTTTTGCTATAGAAACCTTTAAGAACACGGAACTACCTAATGGGGTATTGTTTCTGTAA